GTGTGTGTGTGTGTGTGTGTGTGTGTGTGTGTGTGTGTGTGTGTGTGTGTGCTGTGTGTGTGTGTGTGTGTGTGTGTGTGTCACCTGTCGTGTCATTAACTACAGGTGTGTGTGTGTGTGTACTGTCACCTGTCGCTGTCATTAACTACAGGTGTGTGTGTGTGTGTGTGTGTGTGTGTGACTGTCACCTGTCGCTGTCATTAACTGTGTGTGTGTGTGTGTGTGTGTGTGTGTGTGTGTGTGTGTGTGTGTGTTGTGTACTGTCTGTCTGTCATTAACTACAGGTGTGTGTGTGTGTGTGTGTGTTGTACTGTCACCTGTCGCTGTCATTAACTACAGGTGTGTGTGTGTGTTGTGTCACCTGTCGTGTGTGTGTGTGTGTGTGTGTGTGTGTACTGTCTGTCGCTGTCATTAACTACAGGTGTGTGTGTGTGTGTGTGCTGTCACCTGTCTGTCATTAACTACAGGTGTGTGTGTGTGTGTGCTGTCACCTGTCGCTGTCATTAACTACACTCACCTGTCGCTGTCATTAACTACAGGTGTGTGTGTGTGTTGGTACTGTCACCTGTCGCTGTCATTAACTACAGGTGTGTGTGTGTGTGTGTGTGTGTGGTGCTGTCACCTGTCGCTGTCATTAACTACAGGTGTGTGTGTGTGTGTGTGTGTGTGGTACTGTCACCTGTCGCTGTCATTAACTACAGGTGTGTGTGTGTGTTGTGTACTGTCACCTGTCGCTGTCATTAACTACAGGTGTGTGTGTGTGTGTTGGTGTCTGTCACCTGTCGCTGTCATTAACTACAGGTGTGTGTGTGTGTGTGTGTGTGTGTGTGTGTGTGTGTGTGTGGTACTGTCACCTGTCGCTGCCATGAACCTCACTCTCTCTCTCCCTCCCTCTCCATCACTCCTCATTAAGTCCCTCACTCACTCCCTCTCTCTCCACTCCCTCCTCTCCTCCCTCACCTCACTCCCTCCCTCCCTCCTCCCTCCCTCCCCCTCCCTCCCTCACCCTCCTCCCTCCCTCTCCCCACTCACTCCCTCACTCCTCCCTCCCACACTCCCTCCTCCCTCCCCACCTCCCTCCCACTCATTCCCTCCCCCCACTCCCTTCCTCACTCATTCCCTCCCCCACTCACTCCCTCACTCACTCCCTCACTCACTCCCCCACTCAATCACTCCCTCCCCCACTCACTCCCTCACTCACTCATAATCAAACTCAGGTGTGGCCGATCTGTCCGCCTAATTAACCTCCCATAAACAACCACAATAATACCTGTCTTGGTCGTCATCTGAGAAGGTAACTAGAAGGTAATTAAGGTAAACAAACATCTAATTCTATACAATGACAACACAGGTAATTATTGATGACGTCAGAGTGTGGTGACGTCAGTGTGTGGTGACGTCAGTGTGTGGTGACGTCAGTGTGTGTCGCGCCCTAATTTAATCCTCATTGATAGATTATATTATTTCCAGGTCAAGTCGGGAGCCAATCAGCGAGCAGAGATTAACCCAGTGCTGTGCTGATTGGTGACCTACATTATAACACCTGTACCATCACCCCAACACCTGTACCAACACCTCAACACCTGTACCAACACCTGTATCAACACCTGTATTATTATCTCAGTGCAACCATCAACATTAGCCGCTAAACGGTCCCTCGTTAATAGCCTCCTAATCGTTCATTATGGATATCATTATCAACAATCACTCTCGGCGTCAATTAATAATTCGCCAATTTTGTCCATTCATAATTTGGCGCAGGGATAATTGGCGATACATAGTTTGATGAGTAGATGATCTCTTAATGGGTGGAGCGGCTCCCAGCTAACTATAGTAGGCTGATCACCTGTTACCGCCGGCCCACCTGTCGACTAACAGCCCAATTGCTCTTAAACCAGGATGAACACAGCTGGATTATAACGAGCTATAACAGTACTCGGATTAATATGGATAATACCGTCATTATCACTACTAATAACCGGATTAATTACCCTAATCTAACTAACACTATAAGCTCACCATAATTAGTACAGGTGGGATAACTTACCTGTACATGTCATACACTAATCTTAACTAACACAAATCATCTAGTTAGCGTCTCTAATCACTAACAATCACCCATGAACTATATGTCGAGCGATACACTCCATTAACAAGCAGCTGAAGCCTCCCCGTACACCGTTCCACACTTCGCGCGGCACCTTGAGATAAACTGCTTCCATCAATGTTACACGTTATAATGGTAAACCTGTATCACAACTCATAACATCAGATAGGAAGTTATATCTTAATTATGACACACTAATTACTATCATTACTACTGACAATGGAGAAGTAACACTAATTTCCTCTTTAATAATAATAATAATAATAATAATAATAATATACAAGTGACCAGGTGATGGTGGACAGTTAGAGAAGCATTGTTACCACAGCACCACTGAGCCCCCCCCTCCTCCCCCCCGTGGTAACAATGGTGTGGCCCGGGGCAGGTAGTGTAGTGTGCCCCGGGCAGGTAGTGTAGTGTGGCCCAGGCAGGTAGTGTAGTGTGGCCCAGGCAGGTAGTGTAGTGTGGCCCAGGCAGGTACTGTAGTGTGGCCCAGGCAGGTACTGTAGTGTGGCTCGGGCAGGTAGTGTAGTGTGGCCTGGACAGGTAGTGTAGTGTGGCCCAGGCAGGTAGTGTAGTGTACCCAGGCAGGTAGTGTAGTGTGTCCAGGCAGGTATTGGGTGTGTGGCCTGGCAGGTACTGTAGTGTGCCCAGGCAGGTAGTGTGTAGTGTGGCCCAGGCAGGCAGTGTAGTGTGGCCCGGCAGTAGTGTAGTGTGGCCCAGGCAGGTGTAGTGTGGCCTGGCGGGCATTGCAGTGTGTGGCCTCTGACCGCCACCAAGACTCAGAGACCTGGGGATTAAATGGCTTATGGGGATGTTGTGGGTAGAGGCACTGGCACCCCCCAACACACACAGTGCTGGGGGTGCTCCACCATCGATCTCTCCTCCCGCCACTCACCACCACCCGGCACCGCCCCTCACGCCCCGCCCCCAAGCTTGGCCCCGCCCCTTCTTCCACTCCGCCGCTCCCTCACCACGCCCCTTTCGTCATGGCGGGTGTCCATGGACCGTCTCCAGCTGCCAGAGGTTCAAGGAGGGCCATACGGTGCCATATACACAGGGCCAACATAAGGGATGAGGAACATGGCTTCTCGGGGAGGGAATAATAATCCCTCGGCCATGATTTGTGTAGATCATCTGTTGGGGGGAGGCTCGAGAGACCTCCTTCGTCGTGGTCTTCTGGAGGGCCTTCTTCAGTAGGGCCTCACGCGGGAGCATTGAGAGACATTAGGGGGATGACCTATAGGGGTGTGAGGGTCTTGGTAGTGTTCAGGGTTCGCTTAAGATGGCCTCTCCGCCCTGGTCTCCTTCTGTGCCTTCGTCGGGGAGGTGTTTGTTGACGGGCAGTGAAGAAATATCGTGATGTATAATTTATTGTTATTGTTTTCATTTTATTCCCGTGGGTTATATGTAGTTGTCATCATCATCATTATTACCACCACCACCACCATCATCATCATCACTATCATCATTATCATCGTCATTATTACCATCATCATCATCATTATTACCACCACCACCATCATCATCATCACTATCATCGTCATTATTACCATCATCATCATCATCATTATTACCACCACCACCATCATCATCACTATCATCATTATCATCGTCATTATTACCATCATCATCATCATTACTATCATCATCATCACCATCATCGTCATCCTCATCATCAACAATCCACCCTCATTCTCCACAATCTCAGGTCATACTCACCAATCACACCTCAATATCCCAAAGCAATTCTCATTTTATAACCCAATCCATGAGTCTAACACACACACACACACACACACACACACACACACACACACACACACGTCTTGAGGTTCGTTCAGGAAGTCAAGTCACCCTCAGGAAGCTCTACCAGTCAAGTCTGAAGGTTCTACAGTACAATAATTCACTACGACACTTCTCACTCATTCATCCGTATTGCTTATCCATCTCTTTCTCTCTCTCTCTCTCTCCTCTTGTTCCTCCCTTCATCAATCTTTCTTGCCCTGTTCCTCCTCCTCCTTCTCTTCTGTTCCTCTATACATATTCCCATACATATGCAGTCTTTGTGTCTTCTCTTTCATTCCTAACCTAACCTAACCTAACCTCACCTAACCTAACCTTACCTCACCTAACCTAACCTTACCTCACCTAACCTTACCTCACCTAACCTTACCTCACCGGACCAGATCCAAACCCCCCTAATCTAAGCCAATCTAACGTAACCTAACCTAATCCAGTCTCAGCCACAAGACAGACAGACACACACACACACGACAACTCTCTCTCTCTCTCTCTCTCTCTCTCACTCTCTCTCTCCTTTGCCACTCTTTTCACTGCTTTATCTCTTTTACGCTTCTCTTCTCTTCTTCCTCTGTGTTATAATTTCCTCTCTCTCCACAATTCAGCCCCTAAAACCAACCCCCGAAAATCAACCCCGACAACTACCCCACAATAAAACCCTCGACAATCAACCCCCAAAAATCGAGACTTCACAATCAAATCACACAAACAGTATCCCCTGCAATCCACCAGGCCACAAAATGGTAAGCTGAGAGGCGGTGACAGGCGACAAGTACGGTAGGTGGGAGTCGCTGCCTTAGACTGTGTGCCGTACAGGTGACTGATGAAATATGGAGAGAGGGGGTGAGGTGTTGCATCTTGCACGACCCAGGGAGAGCGGGCAACCACTAGCACAGGACCAAGGCGACGCTTTCTGTGCAACTTGCAACGTGCCCACGCTTGTATCCTTGCCTTGTAGGACGTCCTCTCGCAACATGCCGCACCTTGCCTTGTAGGACGTCCTCTCTGTAATACCCACGCTTGTATCCTTGCCTTGTAGGACGTCCTCTCGCAACATGCCCACGCTTGTATCTTGACGACAGGACGCGTTATGCCATGTGCCCACGCTTTCATACCCTCCCTGCCTGGTTGTCAGCTCGTAGTCCCACAAACACGGCTGTCAGTACTCTATTGTGACTGTCAGTGTTTAGTCCTTCATAACACGGCCGTCAACCACTTAAACGCCGACCCATGTGAGGCGAACCACCACCCCGAGCTGGTAACACTGTCAAGTCAAGGTGCACGGAGCTGGCCGGCCACACTGTCACGTCAAGGTGCACGGAGCTGGCCGGCCACACTGTCACATCAAGGTGCACGGAGTTGGCCGGCCACACTGTCACGTCAAGGTGCACGGAGCTGGCCGGCCACACTGTCACATCAAGGTGCACGGAGCTGGCCGGCCACACTGTCACGTCAAGGTGCACGGAGCTGGCCGGCCACACTGTCACATCAAGGTGCACGGAGTTGGCCGGCCACACTGTCACGTCAAGGTGCACGGAGCTGGCCGGCCACACTGTCACATCAAGGTGCACGGAGCTGGCCGGCCACACTGTCACGTCAAGGTGCACGGAGCTGGCCGGCCACACTGTCACATCAAGGTGCACGGAGTTGGCCGGCCACACTGTCACGTCAAGGTGCACGGAGCTGGCCGGCCACACTGTCACGTCAAGGTGCACGGAGTTGGCCGGCCACACTGTCACGTCAAGTTGCACGGAGCTGGCCGGCCACACTGTCACGTCAAGGTGCACGGAGCAGCCAGCCCACACTGTCACGTCAGGGTGCACGGAGCTGGCCGGCCACTGTCGTCAGGTGCGCAGGTGGCAGCCACACTGTCACGTCGCGGTGCACGGAGCTGGCCAGCCACACTGTCACATCAGGTGCACGGAGCTGGCCGGCACACCTGTCACGTCAAGGTGCAGGGCTGACCGGCCACACTGTCACGTCAGGGTGCACGGGCTGGCCGGCCACACTGTCGTCAAGGTGCACAGAGCTGGCCCGGCCACACTGGCAGAATCCGGTGCACAGGTTGGCCGGCCACACTCTCACGTCAAAGGTGCACCAGGCTGGCCGGCCACACTGTCAAGTCAAGGTGTACGGGCTGGCCGGCCACACTGTGCCGTCAGGGTGCACAGGAACTGGCCAGCCACACTGTCACGTCAGGTGTACGGAGCTGACCACACTGTCAAGTCAAGGTGCACGGAGCTGGCCGGCCACACTGTCACGTCAAGGTGCAAGGAGCTGGCCGGCCACACTCTCACGTCAAGGTGTAAGGAGCTGGCCGGCCACACTCTCACGTCAAGGTGTACGGAGCTGGCCGGCCACACTGTCACGTCAAGGTGCACGGAGCTGGCCGGCCACACTGTCACGTCAAGGTGCACGGAGCTGGCCGGCCACACTCTCACGTCAAGGTGTACGGAGCTGGCCGGCCACACTGTCAAGTCAAGGTGTACGGAGCTGGCCGGCCACACTGTCACGTCAGGGTGCACGGAGCTGGCCGGCCACACTGCCACGTCAAGGTGTACGGAGCAGGCCGGCCACACTCTCACGTCAAGGTGCACGGAGCTGGCCGGCCACACTCTCACGTCAAGGTGTAAGGAGCTGGCCGGCCACACTCTCACGTCAAGGTGTACGGAGCTGGCCGGCCACACTCTCACGTCAAGGTGTAAGGAGCTGGCCGGCCACACTGTCACATCAAGGTGCACGGAGCTGGCCGGCCACACTGTCACGTCAAGGTGCACGGAGCTGGCCGGCCACACTGTCACGTCAAGGTGCACGGAGCTGGCCGGCCACACTGTCACGTCAAGGTGACTGTAGACAACGGGACAGCAGGGATTAAAAGAACGGAGAATGAATGAAGGAAGAGAATGATTGAAGTATTAATAAAAGAGAACGAACAGAAATTATTGATGACGCGATGAAAGTTCCTGCCACTGGCTTGAAAACATGGCCAAACAAAAACACAAACAAAATAAATAAAAATAAAAAAAACACACAACAAAACATAAATAAAAACAAAACAAAAAATAAAAACACGGGTGAAGGAATTTGGTGGATCTCACTGTGGCAGATTGAACATGGAAACAATATTGATAAAAGCCATCGTGGAGAAATAGACCATCTGATACTGAGAGAAGATAAGACGGAGGAAGAGGAAGAGGAGGGAGAGGAGGAAGAGGAGGGAGAGGATGAAGAGGAGGGAGAGGAGGAGGGAGAGGAGGAGGAGGAGGAGGAGGAGGAAGAGGCAATATACACCACCACCGTCGTCGACTTTTCAGTGTTCTGAGAGTGGCCTGCAGTTAGTCTAGTCTCCAGGGTGTAGGAAGGTGTCGTGTTCAAGGGTGTAAGGTACAAGTCCACCCTGTCCTCCCTTGTCGCCCTCCCTCCCTCCCTCCCACACAAAAAACTATCGGCGCCGTGTTGTTAGTGGCTCACCGGCGTCGGCAGTTGGCGGGGGCGAGGCGTCTAATGTTTGTGTGTTTCTCGTTATGATGATTACGAACCAAATGTAGTTAATGTTTCGTCATTTAATCTAGTTCTCAGGGGGGCTCAGGTCACGGTCAGGGGTGACGTCATTAATCTAGGTCTCAAGGGGCCCGGAGTCTCGATCAGGGGTGACGTCATTAATCAGATACTCAGGGGGCTCAGGTCTCGAACAGAGGTGACGTCATTAATCTAGATTCCTCAGGAGGACCCAGAGTCTCGATCAGGGGTGACGTCATTAATCTAGGTCTCAGGGGGGCTCAGGTCACGGTCAGGGATGACGTCATTAATCTAGGTCTCAAGGGGACCCCGGGTCTCGATCAGGGGTGACGTCATTAATCTAGTTCTCAGGAGGGCTCAGGTCTCGATCAGGGGTGACGTCATTAATCTAGTTCTCAGGAGGACCCAAGTCTCGATCAGGGGTGACGTCATTAATCTAGGTCTCAAGGGGGCCCCGGGTCTCGATCAGGGGTGACGTCATTAATCTAGGTCTCAGGAGGGCTCAGGTCTCGGAACAAGGGTGACGTCATTAATCTAGGTCTCAGGAGGGCTCAGGTCTCGATCAGGGGTGACGTCATTAATCTAGTTCTCAGGAGGGCTCAGGTCTCGGCCAGCAGGAAGTCTCTGGTCCCCTCTGGCTCGTCACCATAACGCTCGTGTTAGGTGAGTGACCCACAATAGTTTTACGTTGTAAAAGACCAAAATATTCCGTAATAATAAAATCATCGTTTTATAGGTAAGTGTTTTTCGCCCGGTGGTTCGTTTCCCGGTGAAAATTGAGAATACGTTTGTGTTGACACCTGGCCCTGGGTTTTTAGTTCCACTGAATATATTCTCGCCAGTCTGTGACAATGTTTTGATGGGGTTACAACACACACCCACACTATTTTGTATATGTGAGTAAACAAAAATAATGTGTGTTTGCAGTCATGTCGAAAAACAGGTTCTACATCTACTCAGGACGGAATAATCATTTTTTATCGGGAAAAAATCTTAATTGAATACAGGTAAATTATTTGGCTAACATATACTGTATACACAACATTTCAGGATATATTTCTTTTTCTTCGTCAATTTTTTTACAATTATTCATATTTACCATTCTCTCCGTCAAGTATCCTTCTTTCATACATACATACATACATACATACATACATACTGTTCTCGGGTTATACAGACATACATACAGTTCTCGGGTTATTTACGGGTTTATAATACAAATTCAGTTTCTGAGCCGGATTTAACTCGAAAATACATATCGCAACATATGCCACGGACGGCCAGGGTTGAGAAGTTGTGCCCCCTGACTCCCCCCTCCCGCCAGAGTACCCCTACCTTACCCAACCAGTGCCCCCCCACTCCCCTCCCGCCAGAGTACCCCTACCTTACCCAACCAGTGCCTCTCCCCCCCCTCCCGCCGGCCCCTACCTACCCAACCAGTGCCCTCCCCACTCCTCCCGCCAGCACCCCTACCCACCAACCAGTGCCCCCCCTCCCGCCAGGACCCCTACCTTACCCAACCAGTGCCCTCCCCCACTCCCCTCCCGCCAGAGTACCCCTACCTTACCCAACCAGTGCCCCACCCCCTCCCGCCAGGTACCCCACCTTACCCAACCAGTGCCTCCCCCCACTCCTCCCGCCAGAGTACCTACCTTACCCAACCAGTGCCCTCCCCACTCCCTCTGCCAGAGTACCCCTACCCACCCAACCAGTGCCTCCCCCCACTCCCGCCAGAGTACCCTGCCTTACCCAACCAGTGCCCCCACTCCCTCCCGCCAGAGTACCCCACCCACCCAACCAGTGCCCTCCCCACTCCCTCCCGCCAGAGCACCCCTTACCCAACCACCAGTGCCCTCCCCCACTCCCCGCCAGAGTACCCACCTTACCCAACCAGTGCCCTCCCCCCCCCTCCCCACAGAGTACCCCTACCACCCAACCAGTGCCCCCCCTCTCCCGCCAGAGTACCCCACCTTACCCAACCAGTGCCCCCCACTCCCGCCAGAGTGCCCTCTACCTTACCCAACCAGTGCCCCCCACCCTCCCGCCAGAGTACCCCCACCTCACCCAAGTGCCCCCACTCCCCCCCGCCCAGAACAACCCTCATGAAATACTAATATGATGAACAAGAACAACAAAGATCATTAAGTATAGACGCCACTAAAATAAAGTCTCTGAGTTGGTTTGTGTGGATATACTGTTGTGGAGAGAGACAGTTCTGGACATCCACCCGTGCAGCCTAAATATACATAACATAACATAATATAACCCAATATAATATAACATAACATAACATAAATATAACCTAAATATAACCTAACCTAATATCATAACATAACATAACCTAACCTAATATAACCTAACCTAACATAACATAACATAACCTAAATATAATATAAACCTGAATATAACCTAACATAACATAACATAACATAATATAACCTAATATAATATTAAATAACAACATAACATAACATAACATAACATAACCTAACATAACCTAACATATACATAACATAACATAACATAACATAACCTAACATAACCTAACCTAATTAAATAATATAACATTCAATATAACATAACATAACATAATATATCAATATAATATAACATAACATAACATAACATAACCTAACATAACCTAACCTAATATAACATAACATAACCTAACATAACAATAACTAACCTAACCTAACCTAACCTAACATAATATATAATATAACTCAATATAACATATAATATAACATAACATAACCTAACATAACCTAACATAACATAAACCAACATAACATAACATAACATAAATATAACATAACATAACCCAACATAACCTAACCCAATATAACATAACATAACCCAACCTAACCTAACCTAACCTAACCTAACCTAACATAATATAACCTAACCTAACATAACCTAACTCAACATAACATAACATAATCCAACATAATAATATAAATATAACTATAACCTAACATAACCTAACATAACATAACATAATATAACCTAACATAACATAACATAATATAATAAATATAAATAACCTAACATAACATAACCTAACATAACATAATCATAACCTAACCTAACCTAACTAACTTAACCTAACCTAACATAACATAACATAACATAAACTCCAACATAACATAACCCAACATAACATAACATAACCTAACATAACATATCAACATAACCCAACATAACCTAACCTAACATAAATACAATATAACCTAACCTAACATAACCTAACCTAACCTAACATAAATATAACATAAATATAACCTAACATAACATAACCTAACATAACATAACATAACCCAATATAACCAAAACATAACATAAATAACTAACCAATATAATATAACATACCTAACATAACCAAACATAACATAACAATAACATAACATAATATAACCTAACATAACATAACATAATCCAACATAACCTAACATAACATAACATAACCTAACTCCAACATAACCTAACATAACCTAACCCAATATAACATAACATAACCTAACCTAACATAACCAACCTAACATATAACATAACATAAATATAACCTAACATAACATAAATCCTAACATAACATAAATATAACCTAACATAAACCAAACATAACATAACCTAACCTAATATAACATAACATAACATAACATAACCTAATATAACCAAACATAACATAACATATAATATAACCAATATAACCTAACATAACATAACATAACCTAACCTAACATAACCTAACATAACATAACATAACAACATAAACCTAAATAACCTAACATAACAATATAACATAACCAAACATAACCTAACATAACATAACATAATATAACCTAACATAACATAACATAATATAACCTAACATAACATAACCCAACATAACATAACATAACATAACCTAACCTAACTATAATATAACATAACCTAACCCAACATAACATAAACATAAACATAACATAACACAACCTAACATAACATAACATAACATAACCTAACATAACCTAACCTAACCTAACATACAACATAAATAAATACAACCTAAAACTAACATAACATAACATAACCCAACATAACATAACTCTAACCCAATATAACCCAACCTAACATAACATAACCTAACATAATATAACCCAACATAACCTAACATAAACATAACATAAACATAACCTAACATAACATAACATAAATATAACCTAACCTAAATATAACATAAATATAAACATAACATAACATAACCTAAACTCTAACCCAACATAACATAACATAACATAACATAACATAACCTAACCCAATCTAATATAACATAACCTAACATAAC